TTTATGGAGCAGCCTGATGCCTTCATAAAGAAAGGCTCCGAAGACAAAGTCTGCCTTCTTAGGAAATCCTTGTACGGCCTGAAACAATCACCTAGGCAATGGTACAAGAGATTTGATGACTTTGTGATATCACAAGGTTTCAATAGGTGTAGTTATGATAATTGTATGTATTATTTGAATGCTGATGATGATAGCTATGTTTACTTGCTTATCTATGTTGATGATATGCTCATTGTTTCTAATAACATAGATAATATTAATAAGCTAAAGGAAATGTTGAAAAGGGAATTTGATATGAAAATCTTAGGCCCTGCCAGAAGAATTTTAGGTATGGAAATTTTTAGAGATAGAGATGCAAGAGTGTTGTCTTTATCTCAATCACATTATGTGAAAAAGATTTTAAAACTATTTGCTATGCATTTGCCCAAGCCTGTGAACACTCCTTTAGATGCCCATTTTCATTTGAAACCTGCGTGTGGTGAATTAGATGAAACTGAATCTGTTTACATGCAAAAAGTGCCTTATTCGAATGTTATAGGAAGCCTAATGTATGCTATGATAGGCACTAGGCCTGATATTGCTCATGGAGTGAGTGTAGTGAGCAGATTTATGTCTAAACCAAATAGAGAACATTGGAATGCAGTACAAGGATTTTCAGATACTTAAATGGATCTTGTGATAATTGTTTAAATTCTACTGTTGATGATTCTAATCTGTTTGGTGTTAGAGGATATTGTGATGCAGACTATGCAACTGATCTAGATAAGAGAAGATAAGTGACTGGCTATGTCTTCACGGTTGGAGGGAACGTGGTTAGCTGGAAATCAAATCTCCAGCATGTGATGGCCCTCTCAACAACTGAATCAGAATATATTGCATTGACTGAGGCAATAAAAGAAGCCTTATGGCTTAAAGGCATTGTATTAGAATTGGGACTTGGTAAGGATGTTCCCAAGGTTTTTTGTGACTCACAAAGTGCTATTCACTTGTCCGAAAATAGTGTCTTTCATGAAAGGACCAAACACATAGATGTTAGGTTGCACTTCATTAGAGATATTATCTCTAATGAGCAGGTTGAGGTGGAGAAGGTCTCCACTTCATGGAACCCTGTTGACATTTTCACCAAATCCGTTCCTGTAAACAAGTTTAAGGATGCCTTAAGTTTGTTGAAGGTTCTGGGTCAATCTTGTTGAGAATATATGGTCAGGGAGGCGATATCCAATTACTGGTACTTGCATACTACCTTATGAAAATAAGGTGGATTTTTTATATGTATATGTGTGTATTTTCATTAGTATCTTATTACACTGTCAACTTTACTTGTTTAAGGGTAATTTAGACTTTACGCTTATTTTTATTAAAACATTGAGTTTCATCATTCATATAGGTTAATATACATGTTCTGCATCATTCAATTCAGATTTGCAAATTCTCTCTCTTCGATATTCAGTAACTAAAATTCCTTTGTTTGCTCTGATAGGGTTTCACTCAAAAATCCAAAAATCTGACCTTAGTTCGCTGTTATTGTTGCTTCTTCTCTGTTGTTCATCTTCTGCATGTTTTGCAGGTCACCAACCGGAAGTCTATTGGTGGGTCTTGGAGAAGTGATGCAACGGTGGTGAATAATGAAGATTCTCAAGGGTACAAGATCTGTCGTTCTTGCTTGGAGGCTTCCGGTAACACAAGTGTGCTTGTGTGTTTCTTGGTTGGATGCTTTTGTGCTGCTGTGTAATTTTAGTAGCATGTTATAGTGTTTAAGTTTTTTTTATCTGATTGTATAAATTGGGGCTTTGGGGATTTTTCTTTGGGGCTTTGATTATTAAGTCTGTGTCTGAATATTGTATCCTTTTTCTTTCTATTTTCATAGTGCAAGTGTCAGGGAGTGGACTCCTTGATTGATCCTTGACGTAGGAAACTTGGTAAAACAAGTTTCTGAACAAGTAAAAATCCTGTGTGTTTTTCCTCTTTTTTTTTTTTTTGCCAAAAAGAAATCTGCATTCTTCCACTGAATTTTAACAGGATGTTTTGTTTTCTTTGTAGTGTCTGCCTTGTTCAAAGCAACTTTGTGGTGCGACCCGACCCTGTTCTATTTTGATGTGTATTGGTATGTGTAGAGAATTGAAATATTGTGACGGCTGGAAATTTCAGTAATGTTTTGGACAGACTGTGCTGAAATGTTGATGTAAAAGTTATGTCATGTTAATGAGTATTCACTATGCTTGTGTTATTGGATCTTAATGTTTACTCTTCAAAAAAATAAAAATAAAAATTGTTTCAATGAAGTGAATTTTTTTTTTTGATAACAACAATGAAGTGAATTAGATCATGGAAGCCATTACTAGAAAGAATTTACTTGAATCTAGAAATATCATATTGATTTTCCTATTAAAGTGATGTGCCTATAGATTGCAGTTTAAACTTTGCACGGCTGCACGACTAAGCTTCACTAATAATAAACCTAAATGTTGAAGGGCTCCTAACATATAACTTTTATCACAACATCCCAAAAATTTATAACCAATTAATGTATTTTAATACCCCATTTATTGTTAATTAACTGGCTTATAACATCATTTTTAGGTTCAAATAGACGGCTTCTTTGAAGTAAAAATAAAGAGACAAGGGTAAAGATTTGTAATGGAAAAGTTTTTTTTTTTTTTAAGGATGAATAATATTAATTACTTGAATATTATAAATGTTAACTAAATGAAGACATTTTAATCTCCAAAAATAAAAAACAAATACAGTTAACTCATATCATATTCACTAAAGAAATAGGAATTACATCATAGAATTTACTCCCAGAAAAAACTACAAGATAGGGGTAACTTTCACAACAGTTAAAAAATAAAGAGCAAGGGTAAAGATGTGTGATGTAGAAGTTTATATATTTATTTATTTATTTGTTGATGCCTTATGAAGGCAGTTAACTCATACAATGTCCATTAAAAAAATATGAGTTACATCAAAGAATTTACTCCAAAAAAAGACTCCAGGATAGGTTTAACTTCCAAGATTTTTATATTTCTAGATTCTTGGTGAATCAAAAGGAATTAAATGAATGATCCAAAAGTTAAGCATCAAATCTCATTGCTCCATCCACCAATATCTTCTCATTATAAGCCTGCATCATAAACCACTTTCAAGAAATGATGCGAATAAAATAAATGTTAAGTGCTTTCATTTTAGACTAAGTGGGGTGTATTCGATTAGGATTTTAAAAGACTTTCTTGAGATAAAAAAATCTTATAGATTTTAAAAGACTATTAAGAATTGGAGAGACTTTAAAGACTTTTTTTAAAGATTTTTTTACAATCAAGATTTCATAAGATTGGATTTTAATATAATTTATAAGATTTGAAAGGACAATACGGATTTATAAGTTTTTAAAAAAATGTATGAATTTTTAACAAACATTCAAAATTACTAAGCAACAGTTATTCACAAATCTAAAGTTATACTAGTCTTCCACTCATTAGTATTTTCTCGTTCCTGCTGTTGGAATTGACCAATTGGTTGAAAATTATCTTTTTTATTTGGTATCAAAGCTATGCATATATGATTGTAAGACCTAATTTTTTAATTATTAAAATAATTTTATATTTGCAAATAGAACCTAAAGTTCATGATAAAATTTCGTTTGGGGGTTTTTGTTCTACATAATGAGAGTTTTCTAACCATATATCATATGCGTATTTTCATTGAATATTCTAAGAAAATTTTGAATATGAATTTTTGGGTTTTATTACGTGAAAGTTTAGAAAAAATTTCAAATTTTTTTCAATCGATACATTGAAATCTTAAATTGCTTTGGGGATTTTGAAAAATAACTTTTTAGTTATCTATTAACACAAAAATTATTTGAAATCGTTTCCTATAGTGAAGGAATTTCGTTCATGAATATATTGTTACAAAATATAGGGTTCATATTATGAAAGTATCAATCTTTCTTTAAATTGATATTGTTTCATTTATGTAAAATGAAAATTGGTTTGAGCATTTTAGTTCCCATGTTATATTCTCACTATTTTATGTTATTTTTAATACAAAAATCACCCATTTTTGTGCCAAGAAAAACAGCAACCCATAACTTGAAAAATTATTTTTTAAACTTCCAAAATTTCTCAAAAATGGCTAAAAAATATGCTATTTTGAGATAGATAATGTTAAAATCTTGTTGATTTGTTGTTTCTGAATTATTTTGTGATGAAAATCAGCTCAAAAATATGCTATTTTAAGTTTTGACGAAGCTCTTATGGCGAAACATGATTTCGAGCGGGTCAACCTGCCAAAGGATGAAGAAAACACTGCAATCGAGAAATCTCAAGAAATCTTAGGGGTTAGGGTGAGATTGTGAGAGAAACATTCTATTTATATTTCTTACTAAAGTCTCACTAAATCCACACCAATAGAAAATCCATTAAAATCGTTAGATTTTTGAATACCACAAGATTGTTTTTCCATTGTTTAAAATCTTGATAAAATACCAATAGATTTGGACGAACTCTAAAATAATCTTTTAAAATCCTAATCGAATACCACATGACTTTTTTCAATCCATTAAAGTTCTAATTGAATACCAATGATTTTTTGTCCAAAAATAATCCATTAAAATCTTTTGAAATCTCAATCCAATACACCTCCCTAAAGCTAGAACCTAATTATAGCACATTATAAGCATAACCCTTTACAGTCACACACACAAACCATAATAAGATACACATGATCATATATAACCAAAACTCTTATATCTTGTCCTCATTTTGCAATATTTGGTTGACTTTTAAAGTCAAACATCCATGAACACCTAAAAGTAATAATCATAAAATTGAAAAAAAAAAAACAATGTAACTCTAAGCATTAAAAGTAATTTATATCATGGTTTGAATTAGGTTAGGCAATGCTAATGGTATCAGAAAAAAATTTTAAAGCATGAAAAAAATGAAAGTGTTAATTTCTCTTAAAAAATGAACAAATACAAGAATATTGAACCATACCTTTTAGATCCTACCATTATTTATATCATCCAAAGACCCAAAAATATCCTCCTCAACAGGTTCTTCTTGGGGCATTGTTCGCTGCGAAATGTAGGCATCATTTGACATTATTCTTTCCTCAAAATAGAATTTCTCAACTTCTGCAGAATGAGTGATTAATGGAGTAGCCTCATTCGATTGGACAACCAATGATGCATTAATTCTCTTGCTGCAAACTGTATTATTTTGGTCTAAACTATGCCCCAATGAACTAGGGTCCTCATTCAATTGGCAATGCAGCTTCCTTCTTTTAGCATCCTCCAAAGGAATTGCAACATCACTTGTGGAAGAAAAATCAACTAGATTGTTGTCTGTATGATAAGCCGAGGAGGAAAAATTCAAGCTATTATGAGGTTGTTTATCATTGTATAAAACCTCACCAGAAGGAGAAGAGTTGTCATGAAAGTCAGATGAACCCATAAATTCACTTAACCCACTAATTGGATTAAATTGCCTAATACTAGTTGTACAGTTGCACTGCTTGAATTGGTTAAGCTCATTTGATTTCGGAATGCCATGTGATAAACTTGAGCTTTGATTTGTAGAAAACTTGGGCAACTGGATGTTTCCAAGTGTTTTGATGGAGCTATTTATATTTTGTGACTGAACAGGCTGGATTAGCGTAGAGGAACTAATTTCTCTCCAGTTCAAGCCAGATGGGGAGTTCAGGTTACAGAAATTTCCACCCAATGCATTTAAAGGTTGTGTAGTGTTTAAGATTCTTCCTGATACAGACGATGTGCTAAAATCTCCATATGTATCTATTGAACTCATCTGCATGTGAGGATTACTACGACCAAATGCAAGAATTGTGCTAGCTTGTTGAGTTTCCTTCTTAAGGGCAAGTCTATATTTCTGCAATACAAAATGAAAGGGAGCTTATGCATAATTATCAAAGAGTTGTACATCTTTCATGGACACCTATATTTTCATAAATTAACATTGTTCAAAATTTTAATGAATTATTAAATCTAGATGATTATTAAACCATCATTTATTAAAAGTTAAAATGTAGATTATCCCCCTCAACTTTGATCTTGTGCTAAAATTGAAACCAAAGGGTTCTATATGCCAAAAGGTGAGGATAATTTGCATTTTAACTATAAATAATCCAAAAATTAATGATAAATGATAAATTTAAAATTCATACCTGTAGATGGCTTGCAATATTTTCTCTTGTAAGACCTTCAACATTCATCAAGTGAAGTATTTTCTTAGGAACAGCTTCTGCAATAGTAGTTGGAGAAAGTTCATATTAGAAATGATAATATCCATGTTGAGGTATCAAGTAGTCACATTTAATTTACATATATTCTCATGTAAAATAAAAAAAAAGTAAATATCCATTATTATAAAAACTTACTATTAACGCCCAATTGATTAACTGCAACAAGAAATTTTGTATGCAAATTAGTATTCCAATTTAAACGAGGCCTCTTTTTAGTTGAAGCTTCTACAGTCTCTTTTTCATTATCTTCTTCATCTTCTTCTTCTTCCTCACTTGGTTCCTTCCTTTTTTGACCCAATATTTTATCATGGTCAACATTATTTTCTAATGAAATGCCTTGACTGCCTTCCCTGTCTATATTGCAGGATTTCTCCTCATTTGGGGACTTATTCTGATCCTTGCAATTAATCTTTCTTCGCACCACATGTTGCCATATGTTCTGCAGCACTTCAATTCGAGGAGGTTTAATTAAATAGTCACATGCGCCATGTATAACACCTTTCTTCACTTGCTCTTTGTCACTGTATTCTGACAACACTATATCACAAAAAATAATAAAAAAGCAACAACTCAAGTTAATTGGTGAATTCATTCCATTATTTTGAGAGAACACATGTTTATCATTCTAGATTTATCTCCAACTATAGGAAGAACAAATAAAAAATTAAAATAAACTAAATTTAGAAATTGGAAATTTTTCACCAGTTAAATACCAATATTAATCTCAAAATAAGAAAAATTAAATATCAAGTCAAATAATGTTAAGACAAGAGTGTTTGAGCTTACAGATGACTGGTATGTCCATTTCAAGTCCCACTATCTCAAGGAGCTTAAATCCATCCATGTGTGGCATATTTACGTTAGTAATAATAAGGTCAAATTTATTTCTATTTTCCCTCAACATTTCTAGCGCCTCAGTTGATTGAGTAGTTGTAGTAACTGCAGCAAAAGTAAATTATATGTGAAATTTGCTCAAAATTGTACAAGGAAAAGACCCTATATTGGATCAAGGTATATCAATTCATCTAATAACAAATGCTTACTCAGAATAAGAGGATTTATAGTTCTAACAGTAACGTTGCAAAAACAAGAATTTTTTTTATAAATGTTCAAATTTCAAAAGAAATTTTAATCTTAGGAGATTTAAGAAAATGCCCGTCTTGCGAAAAAAAATAAAAAATTTAAGTTAAAAATAAAGGAAAGGGAAAACTTTATAAATGCCTATCTCTTAGAATAAAAAATGTCAACTTTTTTTTAATCTTAAAACCCTTCCCCTTCGCTAATTTCAAATAACACTATTAAATATTATCATATTGTGATTATTTTGTCATTCAATTATTAAAAATACAAGAATATAATTGGTAAATAATTGTTGAAATTGAATTATTTTGATAAATCAGCCCCATATTATATGAAATTCACTTTAAACTTTGATGGTCAAATAATCTAATCATTTACCACTGTTAATATAATTAAATTTTAATACTCAGAACTTTATTAGTATTTAGTTTTTTAAAATTAAAATATTAAAATTTTCACATTGTGATTATTTTGATAAATCAACCCAATATTATACGAAACTCACTTTTAAACTTTGATGACCAAATAAATGTAATCATTTAGGACTATTAATTTAATTAACTTTTTACCCTTGAAATATTTTAATATTTAATTGCTTTATTAAAAAATCTATTATTTCCATTCAATAAAATAATTCAACTTCTATTAAAAATTTTAAAACTAAACAAAATTTATGTCAGCGTGTATTATATAATAAAACTTGTAATCTTATATTTATATAAAAATTTAATGCATAATAATATTCACTTACATAAAATTAGAATATATTATCAATAAAAATACAAAAAATAAATAAGTATTATATGAATATCTTCTTCATTAAAACTTATATGAATATGATTGAAGGATAATAGAATTTATAAATAAAGCAAAACACAATACTTAATGGGTATTATATTGATATATTATACATTTTCTAATTTATTAAAAAATTAATATACTTTTGATTTCTATTAGTTTAAAAATTTAGAAAAATAATTATAAAAAAAATCAAATTTAAAAGTTGATAATATGAAAAAAAAATTACAAATCAATAAAAAAATTGTTAATTAAAAATAAAAAAAACGTTACGTAAGAACGTTTATATCATATATTGATCTTTTTTAAGAATTGGAGTTATATGAATAAATATAATATGTAAATATCAGTATATGCTTAATTAATAGTAACGTTCATTCAATTTACTAATGTTATGATTCGGAAAGTGAGTTTTGTATAATATTGGGCTGATTTATTAAAATAATTTAATTTTAAGAATTATTCATCGATGTAAGATAGAAATCAACCTATGTAATTTTGAACTTTTAGACAATTAAAGAGTAAAATAAGCATAATTTGATAAAATTCAAATGTGTTATTTGAAATTAAGAGAGGGGTATAAATGCTTTATATATCAGGGGCCATTATTAATTAAAAAAATATTAGGGACATTATTTTATTAATATAATTAGGGGCATTTATAAATTTTTCCAAAAAAATTGTCAAATGATGTATTTGACGACTACGAGGGACTAGGCACTTTGCATAAATAATTTTTCTTTGCAATCTTTACCCTCAATATTAAAGACATGCTATAATTGCAAATTCAGCTATAAATTTTTTTAAATCAATATAAGTAATTTTTTTCTTATAAAACTACTTGTTTGAATGTTCCAATTCACGTATGTGGAATTTTAAATATTAACTTTGATCATCAATTAATTAATATAATTTTCATACATGAAATTCTTATATTGAAGTTATATATATCATTATCCTCCTAATTTTTAGTCCACCTTATTTGTTCAATTACAAATTACTCGTACGAGAGGAAGATGCTGAAATTACACAACAAAATATAGAAAGAATCAATAAAAATCAATAGAAATCACAACGATTTTTCTAATTTATAATCAAAACATAACTTCTAAATCAAAAGACAAAGACGATTAAAAGTGAAAACTTAATATAGTTTTATGCAATAAAAGTATTGGGGTTATAATTCAATTTGTTAAAACCTCAATCAAATTATATAGGGATGATGGATAGGTAGACTCAAATCAATGCAGACTTATATTGACTGAATGAAAACAAAGAAAATCACGTACCACGATACTCGCATTTGCGAAGCATGTTCTCCAACACTTTAAGACAAAACTGATCATCGTCAACAACTAGAACATGCATACCCATGGGAAAAGGGTATATTGTCCTATTTTCATCCATCAAATGATTCTCCATAATCATCTCCAATCAGAACCAAATACCTACATGAGAAATTAAGGAATGATAAGATATCACAAATTACAGGAAAAAAAACTCCAAATTACAACAGAAAAATCTTATTTTCAATTTACTAAACAGAAATTAGGACCTTTTTCATCCTATAGACAAAACAACTCACGACAAGAACTAAGGGGGCGTTTGGTAGAGGAGAAATTTTTTTTTATCCGAGAATCTCAATTTTCAAAAATATAATTTTTACATTCAGTTTACGATAATATCCGAAAATATAAAATTTAAAGAAATTCAATTTTTCAAAAATACTATAAAATTTAGCGTACCAAACGCCCCCTAAAAAGAACATGAAAAGACTCAAACAGTGATGGTGACTAACATATAATAGTGAAGGAATTCAATTGGTTCAATTGAATTGAACCGAACAAATGCAAAACATAAATTACCTCAGTTAAAGTCTCTTCCTCTTTTTCTAGTATTTGTATTTGTCGTTAACTTTTTATCGCAGCACAACAGAAAAGTTTAGTGTTTTTTTATCTTCTTTGAATACCAATACAATGAAGCTCTTACCCTTTTTTATAGTCTGCCACCAAATCGTGACCTTGACCCTTAATCATTCTAGAAGATTAATTGATACGGTATCGCTCGATTGTATATCTGGGATTTGATGGACTTTATTTTTCCAAATTTATATTAATTTACTTAATCTGTTGACATTATTTATATTAATGTAATTTGTTTCCAAATTTATATTAATAATACATACTTTTCATATTTAGGTTCTCAGATTTATATTAAAAAATTTGGCCAACGTAATTTCCCCAAAAATATTTTCTTTCCTTAAATTAAGCCCATGATTCTAGGTATTATTACTATATTGACAATGTTTATATTAACATACTTTCCAAATTTGGGTTTCATATCAAGATTTAAAGGGATTGATTGAATGATAGGTATCGTTCCTTTGTCAACCAAAGGGTTAAATATCCAAAAAAAAGATAGGCTCATAATATCAAATAATAAATGCAAAATTTTATTTTATTTAACGTAATTAAAATTTATAAAATTTTCACAACAAAAGTAATTATGTTGACCTCGTTTGTATTAATACACTTTCCATATTTAGGTATTGTCGACAAAATAACCCCCCCCCCCCCCCCACCCAAAGCAATGATTCTAGTTATTTTTTTATTTTTGGTATTTTTTTGTAATTTTAATTTATTACAAGATTATAATAATTTTTATCATTAAATTTTTTTATCTTTTAACCCCAAATGCCGTCGTTTCAGGGAACGTTATACTTACTTTTCATTAAGGTTGTTGAATCACAATATGTATCGTGTATCGTTTGGCCGATTTCTTATATCGTGAATTATATCGAATTGTAAGATACAAAAATATAATAAAAAATAATAAAAATATATTAAAATATTTATTTAATTACTTCCTTTATTAATATAGATTATTCAGATTAATTTTTGTGTTTAAATCACAAATCAAATCTTTATTTTTTATATTTAAAATTATAATCTTTGATTTAATTTTCCTATGCTATGATTCACAATATGTATCGTACGATATAAAATCCTTTCTTATACATCCCACGACATGTATTGCTATACTTACAAATTGTATCGTATATCGTACGATAGTAGCTAATAACTATGCTTTTCATATTCAGGTTCTCAAATTTATATTAACAATTTTGGCGAACATAATTTCCCCAGATTTATGTTGACAATGTTTGTATTTACATTCTTTCCCCAAAGGATTTTCTTTCCTTAAAGCCCATCATTCTATAGGTATTATATATTATTATGTTGACAATGTTTGTATTTACATACTTTCCATATTTATGTTCCCAGATCCAGATTTGGGGAGATTGATTGATAGGCATCGCTCCTTTGTCAACCAAAGGGTTAAAATCGTCTCATAATAATAAATACAAAATTTTATTCTATTTAACGGACTTAAATTTCTAAAATTTTCACAACAAAAGTAATTCCGTTGACCTCGTTTATATTAATGCACTTTCCTTATATTGGATTTATTTTCAAAAAATTTGACAAAATAATTTCCCAAAAAGGATTTTTTCCCCCATAAAAACCATGATTCTAGTTATTATTAAGGCTGCCAGTTTTCTTAGTAAATATCATTAAAATCTAAAAAGGCAATTTTGTCAGCTATATATAAGGTGTTGTTTCCGTTGAAATTAGAAAGTGTCTAATCACAAGTTTATTCGAATTTCCAATTATATATATATATATATATATAATATATGTGACAATGTAAATTGTAACAGTCCGTTGTACACCAATATTGTTAATATTAATTATGATATTAAACGCAGTTACAATCACAACAATTCATTATAAAAATGCGAGTAAACTTTTTTCGTTTATTACGCGAATATTTAAAACAATAAAAGCGTAATAATTAAAAGTTGTGACCGTAACTGTAAACTCTTGCGGAATACTTATTTAGACTACTTTTATAACTTATTTTACTTACTACAAGTCACTAAGGGGTTCCCATAAACCCACTTAGCATAATTTTCACTTTTACGTTTTCTACCCTTCCGAATATGGTCCGGTCTATAATTTTCTGCGGATATACCGAATTCTACAATGCTCCCATCTTTTGATATGTTATTTCAAACTCAATTACCTTTCTAGGAAGCTATCACACGAGTTATTTAGAGTTCGTTTGCTCCAGATATCGCCGTTTGAAGTTGGACAAGCAAAACTGCCAACCAACCCAAAAACAGCTCCAAACATCCTTCACTCCACGAATTACTGCAGAAAATCCACTCAACTAATTTTCCTAAAATTTTTATACAACAAACTACACACCTCAAGATTCAATTTGATATATCATAAACCTAATTTGACCAAGTAACGAAGCGGAAATAAATTTCTCAAAACCGATCTAGAACTGCCACATGTGCAGTGAGCAAATGGGCAGTCTGCACTCTCTGCCTTCTACAGGTCTACGTTCAACTCAGAAGTTTACCAAATTTTACCAAAAGATAGAGTACATATCAAGCTTCAAAATGGCGTATGACACGTCCCTATCGGACCTCTGTGGAGGGAGATATGCTTTTCCGAAGTTCAGATAAATTATGCCAATTTCTAAAAATTTCACCAGAGTTTCCTTTGTTTTTACCAAAAATCCCTAAGTTTGCTAATATATTCTAGGACCTCAAATGTACCTAATAATCATTGGGTGGCACACACAAGGACCAACAATGGCTTGGGGCACTTACAACCCATCACACTTTATTTTACTTATATAATATGTATCACATTGCTTACTTTATTAATACTCAATACGTTTCAATCATCAAAGTCCATTTGCATGCATTTACTAGTCATACAAATAATCACAATCCTAAAATAGGCATATTGCCCTTTCATCATATTACACATGCTTCAATTACACAAGATCCAAATTACAATACTTACAATTATCCAAATTACAACATAATTCATAATCTCCAAATGCCATAAACTACATGTACCTAGACTTAGGAAAAAAATAGCATGAACAAATATGACATACAACTCATCCTAACAACATATACAATGATCATGCTCTAAGTCTAGCCTAGGCTCAATGGCCATCAAAATGCAAAATATATAAAGTCCTCCAACGACTCATCCTACAGGCTTCTTGTCCGCAGCTCCCGTACCACTACTACCTCTTGAAATAAAGCCCCCAAGTCTGGGTGAGATATACGAATATATCTCAGTAACCCAGAGGTTCCAGAGTAAACTCCGCCCAATGGCTCACTTCAATGAAAATAAATAATATAAAACAACATCTTGAAAAACGGGATATAGCAAGGGATTTAGAGAAACTGGGGAACATAGGGATACAAAATACGACGAGACTGGAACGATAGCCACCAATACCACGCAACGTCCTGCCTAATGGCTCGGCATATAAGCCTACAGGTCTAACCAAGGCGGGTTCCTAGAACATCCAACCAAGGCACCCCTCCCGTCCATATACACCCGAGACTTCATAGTGTGCTCCTATCCGGATCACACACCACGACTCTAGGTCAACTGGGACTCCCTCTCGGAGACCTATCCAGTGGAAGTCCGAAACGCCTGAAGGCAAAACTGTCTACTGGCCAGAGACTTGGTACCTATGTACCAACATACATACTAAATGCATTATCATGTTGCTCTACATTACTTACATAGATTTCCTACCATCACCCTCAACGGGCATGATGGAACACACAAGGGGATCAAGCCCCAGTACCAAGAGGTTACCTTAATAAGCCTCTCCACTTAGCTCCAAAGCAGTATATTTTCCAAGCTCGTTACTCAATATAAATGTCTACACAGAGGACATTCCCAATTACTTAAAACTCATACGAACACATGCAAGTTACTAATTATACAAGAATTATTCCAATCACTTACCTCAATCCCACTTGGTCCAAGACCAAGGGCAATCCACCGACTCACGGTTCGGGGTTCAAATCAACGTACGACAACCTACAACAACCATGTACGAATCATCAGTACACAGCAATTCTATCAGAATACGAAAAACGTCAAAACCACCCCTACACCCTTGTAGGTTCGGCCAAACATGTGCAAATTTGCATTTTATTTTTCTAAATTTTCTTTCTCATTTTATTAGGCATCCTTAGGTTGCCGAAAGGCCATATCAAGTGCCGTTTTTCATCTTACGTCTTTTAAACGTCTTTTTGCTTAATATTTTGCTCTATGTCCAATTAAACACTCAACACTACCAACTATTTTTCCATTGGTTTTCCAATCTTCTAACCACCACACAACCCATCTAATTACCATTTAACACATAGTGCATCACTCAAATAATTTCCAACAACATTCATTCCCTAATTTCCTTTAAAGGCCGAATTGTACCTCAATGCCACACCAAGGAATTTCAATCAATTTTAACCACTCCACACCTCATACAATCCCATTATATCATCATACAATCATGCCACAATCCCATCA